TCCATGTCCACATCCACGTCCACGTCCATGTCCACGTCCACGTCCACGTCCACGTCCATGTCCACGTCCAAGTCCTCCACGTCCACGTCCATGTCCACGTCCACGTCCACGTCCCGACCACGTCCACGTCCACGTCCACGTCCACGTCCATGTCCACGTCCACGTCCACGTCCACGTCCCACGTCCATGTCCACGTCCATGTCCATGTTCACGTCCCACGTCCACGTCCACGTCCAGTCCATGTCCATGTCCACGTCCACATCCACGTCCACGTTCACGTCCACGTCCACGTCCACGTCCATGTCCACGTCCACGTCCCATGTCCACGTCCACGTCCACGTCCACGTCCATATCCACGTCCACGTCCATGTCCACGTCCATGTCCACATCCACATCCACGTCCCATCCACGTCCACGTCCATATCCACGTCCAGGTCCACGTCCACATCCACGTCCACTTCACCGTCCACGTCCACGTCCACTGTCCATGTCCACTTCTACGTCCACGTCCCACGTCCATGTCCACGTCCACGTCCACGTCCATATCCCCATGTCCACGTCCACGTCCACGTCCACCTCCACGTCCACCTCCACGTCCACCTCCACGTCCACGTCCACGTCCACTTCCATGTCCACGTCCACATCCACGTCCATGTCCACGTCCATGTCCATGTCCACGTCCACGTCCACGTCCACGTCCACGTCCTCGTCCATGTCCACGTCCACGTCCATGTCCACGTCCATGTCCACGTCCACGTCCACGTCCACATCCACGTCCATGTCCACGTCCAAGTCCTCCACGCCACGTCCACGTCCACGTCAACCTCCACGTCCACGACCACGTCCACGTCCACGTGCACGTCCATGTCCACGACCATGTCCACGTCCACGTCCACCTCCATGTCCACGTCCACGTCCACGTCCACGTCTACGTCCACGTCCATGTCCACGTCCATGTCCACGTCCATGTCCACGTCCACGTCCACGTCCACGTCAATGTCCACGTCCACGTCCACGTCCACGTCCACGTCCACGTCCACGTCCACGTCCACCTCCACGTCCACCTCCACGTCCACGTCCACGTCCACGTTCACGTCCACGTCCACGTCCACGTCCATGTCCACGTCCACGTCCACGTCCATGTCCACGTCCACGTCCACGTCCACGTCCATGTCCACGTCAACGTCCACGTCCAGGTCCACGTCCACGTCCACGACCACGTCCACGTCCACGTCCACGTCCATGTCCACGTCCACGTCCATGTCCACGTCCACGTCCACGTCCACGTCCACGTCCATGTCCACGTCCACGTCCATGTCCACGTCCACGTCCACGTCCACGTCCACGTCCACGTCCATGTCCACGTCCATGTCCACGTCCACGTCCACGTCCACGTCCATGTCCACGTCCACGTCCACGTCCATGTCCATGTCCACGTCCACGTCCACGTCCATGTCCACGTCCACGTCCACGTCCACGTCCACGTCCATGTCCACGTCCACGTCCACGTCCACATCCACGTCCATGTCCACGTCCAAGTCCTCCACGTCCACGTCCACGTCCATGTCCACGTCCACGTCCACGTCCACGTCCACGTCCATGACCACGTCCACGTCCGTGACCATGTCCACGTCCACGTCCACGTCCACGTCCATGTCCACGTCCACGTCCACGTCCACGTCCACATCCACATCCATGTCCACGTCCAAGTCCTCCATGTCCACGTCCACGTCCATGTCCACGTCCACGTCCACGTCCACGTCCAGGTCCACGTCCACGTCCACGTCCACGTCCATGTCCACGTCCACGTCCACGTCCACGTCCACGTCCATGTCCACGTCCATGTCCACGTCCATGTCCACGTCCACGTCCACGTCCATGTCCACGTCCATGTCCACGTCCACGTCCATGTCCACGTCCATGTCCACGTCCACGTCCACGTCCACGTATACGTCCATGTCCACGTCCACGTCCACGTCCACGTCCATGTCCACGTCCAAGTCCACGTCCACTCCACGTCCACAGTCCAAGTTCCACGTCCATGTCCACGTCCATGTCCAGTCAGTCACGTCCACGGCACGTCACGTCCAAGTCCACGTCCACGTCCACGACATGTCCACGTCCACTCCACGTCCACGTCCACGTCCACGTCCATGTCCACGTCCAACGTCCACGTCCATGTCCACGTCCACGTCCACGTCCATGTCCACGTCCACGTCCACGTCCACGTCCATGTCCACGTCCACGTCCACGTCCACGTCCAAGTCCTCCACGTCCAGGTCGACGTCCATGTCCACGTCCACGTCCACGTCCACGACCAGGTCCACGTCCACGTCCACGTCCACGCCCACGTCCACGTCCACGTCCACGTCCACAATCCACGTCCACGTCCACGTCCACGTCCACTTCATGTCCACGTCCATGTCCACGTCCACTTCCATGTCCACGTCCAAGTTCGTGTCCACGTCCACGTCCACGTCCAGACCCTGTCCACGTCCACGTCCACGTCCGTCCACGTCCACGTCCACGTCCACGTCCACGTCCACGTCCACGTCCATGTCCACGTCCATGTCCACGTCCACTTCCATGTCCACGTCCACGTCCGTGTCCACGTCCACGTCCACGTCCACGACCATGTCCACGTCCACGTCCACGTCCTACGTCCACGTCCACGTCCACGTCCACGTCCACGTCCATGTCCATGTCCATGTCCACGTCCACGTCCACGTCCACGTCCACGTCCACGTCCATGTCCATGTCCATGTCCACGTCCACGTCCATGTCCACGTCCACGTCCATGTCCAGGTCCACGTCCACGTCCACGTCCATGTCCACGTCCACGTCCACGTCCACGTCCACGTCCACGTCCACGGCCATGTCCACGTCCACGTCCACGTCCACGTCCACGTCCATGTCCACGTCCACGTCCATGTCCATGTCCACGTCCACGTCCACGTCCATGTCCACGTCCACGTCCATGTCCATGTCCACGTTCAGTCCACGTCCACGTCCACGTCCACGTCCACGTCCACGTCCACGTCCACGGCCATGTCCACGTCCACGTCCACGTCCACGTCCACGTCCATGTCCACGTCCACATCCACGTCCACGTCCACATCCACGTCCATGTCCACGTCCACGTCCATGTCCACGTCCATGTCCACGTCCACGTCCACGTCCACGTCTACATCCACGTCCACGTCCATGTCCACGTCCACGTCCGCATCCATGTCCACGTCCACGTCCACATCCATGTCCATGTCCACGTCCACGTCCACGTCCATGTCCACGTCCATGTCCACGTCCACGTCCATGTCCACGTCCATGTCCACGTCCACGTCGACGTCCACGTCCACGTCCACGTCCACGTCCACGACCATGTCCACGTCCACGTCCACGTCCACGACCATGTCCACGTCCACGTCCACGTCCACGACCACGTCCACGTCCACGTCCACGTCAACGTCCATGTCCACGTCCACGTCCACGTCCACGTCCACGTCAACGTCCACGACCACGTCGACGTCCACGTCCACGTCCACGTCCACGACCATGTCCACGTCCACGTCCACGTCCACGTCCACATCCATGTCCACGTCCACGTCCATGTCCACATCCTTGTCCACGTCCATGTCCACGTCCACGTCCACGTCCATGTCCACGTCCAAGTCCTCCACGTCCACGTCCATGTCCACGGTCCACGTCCACGTCCACGACCACGTCCACGTCCACGTCCACGTCCACGACCATGTCCACGTCCACGTCCACGTCCACGTCCATGTCCACGTCCATGTCCATGTTCACGTCCACATCCACGTCCACGTCCACGTCCATGTCCATGTCCACGTCCACATCCACGTCCACGTTCACGTCCACGTCCACGCCATGTCCACGTCCACGTCCATGTCCACGTCCACGTCCACGTCCATGTCCACGTCCACGTCCATGTCCACGTCCATGTCCACATCCACATCCACGTCCACATCCACGTCTTGGTCCATATCCACGTCCAGGTCCACGTCCGCGTCCACGTCCATGTCCACGTCCATGTCCACGTCCACGTCCATGTCCACGTCTACGTCCATGTCCACGTCCATGTCCACGTCCACGTCCACGTCCATATCCATGTCCACGTCCACGTCCACGTCCACGTCCACCTCCACGTCCACCTCCACGTCCACGTCCACGTCCACGTCCACGTCCACGTTCACGTCCATGTCCACGTCCACGTCCATGTCCACGTCCATGTCCATGTCCACGTCCATGTCCACGTCCACGTCCACGTCCTCGTCCATGTCCACGTCCACGTCCATGTCCACGTCCATGTCCACGTCCACGTCCACGTCCACGTCCACATCCATGTGGACGTCCAAGTCCTCCACGCCACGTCCACGTCCTTGTCAACCTCCACGTCCACGACCACGTCCACGTCCACGTCCATGTCCACGTCCACGTCCGCATCCATGTCCACGTCCACGTCCGCATCCATGTCCATGTCCACGTCCACGTCCACGTCCATGTCCACGTCCATGTCCACGTCTACGTCCATGTCCACGTCCATGTCCACGTCCACGTCCACGTCCACGTCCACGTCCACGTCCACGTCCACGACCATGTCCACGTCCACGTCCACGACCATGTCCACGTCCACGTCCACGTCCACGTCCACGTCCACGTCCACGACCACGTCCACGTCCACGTCCACGTCAACGTCCATGTCCACGTCCACGTCCACGTCCATGTCCACGTCCACGTCCACGTCCACGACCACGTCCACGTTCACGTCCACGTCCACGTCCACGACCATGTCCACGTCCACGTCCACGTCCACGTCCACGTCCACGTCCACGTCTATGTCCACGTCCACGTCCATGTCCACATCCACGTCCACGTCCATGTCCACGTCCACGTCCACGTCCACGTCCATGTCCACGTCCAAGTCCTCCACGTCCACGTCCATGTCCACGTCCATGTCCACGTCTACGACCACGTCCACGTCCACGTCCACGTCCACGACCATGTCCACGTCCACGTCCACGTCCACGTCCACGTCCATGTCCACGTCCATGTCCATGTTCACGTCCACGTCCACGTCCACGTCCAAGTCCATGTCCATGTCCACGTCCACATCCACGTCCACGTTCACGTCCACGTCCACGTCCACGCCATGTCCACGTCCACGTCCATGTCCACGTCCACGTCCACGTCCACGTCCATATCCACGTCCACGTCCATGTCCACGTCCATGTCCACATCCACATCCACGTCCACATCCACGTCCACGTCCATATCCACGTCCAGGTCCACGTCCACATCCACGTCCACGTTCACGTCCACGTCCACGTCCACGCCATGTCCACTTCTACGTCCACGTCCACGTCCATGTCCACGTCCACGTCCACGTCCATATCCATGTCCACGTCCACGTCCACGTCCACCTCCACGTCCACCTCCACGTCCACCTCCACGTCCACGTCCACGTCCACTTCCATGTCCACGTCCACATCCACGTCCATGTCCACGTCCATGTCCATGTCCACGTCCATGTCCACGTCCACGTCCACGTCCTCGTCCATGTCCACGTCCACGTCCATGTCCACGTCCATGTCCACGTCCACGTCCACGTCCACATCCACGTCCATGTGGACGTCCAAGTCCTCCACGCCACGTCCACGTCCACGTCAACCTCCACGTCCACGACCACGTCCACGTCCACGTGCACGTCCATGTCCACGACCATGTCCACGTCCACGTCCACCTCCATGTCCACGTCCACGTCCACGTCCACGTCTACGTCCACGTCCATGTCCACGTCCATGTCCACGTCCATGTCCACGTCCACGTCCACGTCCACGTCCATGTCCACGTCCACGTCCACGTCCACGTCCACGTCCACGTCCACGTCCACGTCCACGTCCACCTCCACGTCCACCTCCACGTCCACGTCCACGTCCACGTTCACGTCCACGTCCACGTCCACGTCCATGTCCACGTCCACGTCCACGTCCATGTCCACGTCCACGTCCACGTCCACGTCCATGTCCACGTCAACGTCCACGTCCAGGTCCACGTCCACGTCCACGACCACGTCCACGTCCACGTCCACGTCCATGTCCACGTCCACGTCCATGTCCACGTCCACGTCCACGTCCACGTCCACGTCCATGTCCACGTCCACGTCCATGTCCACGTCCACGTCCACGTCCACGTCCACGTCCACGTCCATGTCCACGTCCATGTCCACGTCCACGTCCACGTCCACGTCCATGTCCACGTCCACGTCCACGTCCATGTCCATGTCCACGTCCACGTCCACGTCCATGTCCACGTCCACGTCCACGTCCACGTCCACATCCATGTCCACGTCCACGTCCACGTCCACGTCCACATCCACGTCCATGTCCACGTCCAAGTCCTCCACGTCCACGTCCACGTCCATGTCCACGTCCACGTCCACGTCCACGTCCACGTCCATGACCACGTCCACGTCCGTGACCATGTCCACGTCCACGTCCACGTCCACGTCCATGTCCACGTCCACGTCCACGTCCACGTCCACATCCACATCCATGTCCACGTCCAAGTCCTCCATGTCCACGTCCACGTCCATGTATACGTCCACGTCCACGTCCACGACCAGGTCCACGTCCACGTCCACGTCCACGTCCATGTCCACGTCCACGTCCACGTCCACGTCCACGTCCACGTCCATGTCCACGTCCATGTCCACGTCCATGTCCACGTCCACGTCCACGTCCATGTCCACGTCCATGTCCACGTCCACGTCCATGTCCACGTCCATGTCCACGTCCACGTCCACGTCCACGTATACGTCCATGTCCACGTCCACGTCCACGTCCACGTCCACGTCCATGTCCACGTCCAAGTCCTCCACGTCCACGTCCACGTCCATGTCCACGTCCATGTCCACGTCCACGACCACGTGCACGTCCACGTCCAAGTCCACGTCCACGTCCACGACCATGTCCACGTCCACGTCCACGTCCACGTCCACGTCCACGTCCATGTCCACGTCCACGTCCACGTCCATGTCCACGTCCACGTCCACGTCCATGTCCACGTCCACGTCCACGTCCACGTCCATGTCCACGTCCACGTCCACGTCCACGTCCAAGTCCTCCACGTCCAGGTCGACGTCCATGTCCACGTCCACGTCCACGTCCACGACCAGGTCCACGTCCACGTCCACGTCCACGCCCACGTCCACGTCCACGTCCACGTCCACATCCACGTCCACGTCCACGTCCACGTCCACTTCCATGTCCACGTCCATGTCCACGTCCACTTCCATGTCCACGTCCAAGTTCGTGTCCACGTCCACGTCCACGTCCACGACCATGTCCACGTCCACGTCCACGTCTACGTCCACGTCCACGTCCACGTCCACGTCCACGTCCACGTCCACGTCCATGTCCACGTCCATGTCCACGTCCACTTCCATGTCCACGTCCACGTCCGTGTCCACGTCCACGTCCACGTCCACGACCATGTCCACGTCCACGTCCACGTCTACGTCCACGTCCACGTCCACGTCCACGTCCACGTCCATGTCCATGTCCATGTCCACGTCCACGTCCACGTCCACGTCCACGTCCACGTCCATGTCCATGTCCATGTCCACGTCCACGTCCATGTCCACGTCCACGTCCACGTCCATGTCCAGGTCCACGTCCACGTCCACGTCCATGTCCACGTCCACGTCCACGTCCACGTCCACGTCCACGTCCACGTCCACGTCCACGGCCATGTCCACGTCCACGTCCACGTCCACGTCCACGTCCATGTCCACGTCCACGTCCATGTCCATGTCCACGTCCACGTCCACGTCCATGTCCACGTCCACGTCCATGTCCATGTCCACGTCCACGTCCATGTCCACGTCCACGTCCACGTCCACGTCCACGTCCACGTCCACGTCCACGGCCATGTCCACGTCCACGTCCCGTCACGTCCACGTCCATGTCCACGTCCACATCCACGTCCACGTCCACATCCACGTCCATGTCCACGTCCACGTCCATGTCCACGTCCATGTCCACGTCCACGTCCACGTCCACGTCTACATCCACGTCCACGTCCATGTCCACGTCCACGTCCGCATCCATGTCCATGTCCACGTCCACGTCCACGTCCATGTCCACGTCCATGTCCACGTCCACGTCCATGTCCACGTCCATGTCCACGTCCACGTCGACGTCCACGTCCACGTCCACGTCCACGACCATGTCCACGTCCACGTCCACGTCCACGACCATGTCCACGTCCACGTCCACGTCCACGACCACGTCCACGTCCACGTCCACGTCAACGTCCATGTCCACGTCCACGTCCACGTCCATGTCCACGTCCACGTCAACGTCCACGACCACGTCGACGTCCACGTCCACGTCCACGTCCACGACCATGTCCACGTCCACGTCCACGTCCACGTCCACATCCATGTCCACGTCCACGTCCATGTCCACATCCTTGTCCACGTCCATGTCCACGTCCACGTCCACGTCCATGTCCACGTCCAAGTCCTCCACGTCCACGTCCATGTCCACGTCCACGTCCACGTCCACGACCACGTCCACGTCCACGTCCACGTCCACGACCATGTCCACGTCCACGTCCACGTCCACGTCCATGTCCACGTCCATGTCCATGTTCACGTCCACATCCACGTCCACGTCCACGTCCATGTCCATGTCCACGTCCACATCCACGTCCACGTTCACGTCCACGTCCACGCCATGTCCACGTCCACGTCCATGTCCACGTCCACGTCCACGTCCATGTCCACGTCCACGTCCATGTCCACGTCCATGTCCACATCCACATCCACGTCCACATCCACGTCTTGGTCCATATCCACGTCCACGTCCATGTCCACGTCCACGTCCATGTCCACGTCCATGTCCACGTCCACGTCTACGTCCATGTCTACGTCCATGTCCACGTCCATGTCCACGTCCACGTCCACGTCCATATCCATGTCCACGTCCACGTCCACGTCCACGTCCACCTCCACGTCCACCTCCACGTCCACGTCCACGTCCACGTCCACGTTCACGTCCATGTCCACGTCCACGTCCATGTCCACGTCCATGTCCATGTCCACGTCCATGTCCACGTCCACGTCCACGTCCTCGTCCATGTCCACGTCCACGTCCATGTCCACGTCCATGTCCACGTCCACGTCCACGTCCACGTCCACATCCATGTGGACGTCCAAGTCCTCCACGCCACGTCCACGTCCTTGTCAACCTCCACGTCCACGACCACGTCCACGTCCACGTGCACGTCCATGTCCACGACCATGTCCACGTCCACGTCCACGTCCACGTCCATGTCCACGTCCACGTCCACGTCCATGTCCACGTCTACGTCCACGTCCATGTCCACGTCCATGTCCACGTCCATGTCCACGTCCACGTCCACGTCCACGTCCATGCACGTCCACGTCCACCGTCCACGTCCACGTCCACGTCCATGTCCACGTCCACGTCCACGTCCACCTCCATGTCCACGTCCACGTCCACGTCCACGTCCATGTCCACGTCCACGTCCACCTCCACGTCCACCTCCACGTCGACGTCCATGTCCACGTCCACGTTCACGTCGACGTCCATGTCTACGTCCATGTCCACGTCCACGTCCACGTCCACGTCCATGTCCACGACCACGTCCACGTCCACGTCCATGTCCACGTCCACAACCACGTCCACGTCCACGTCCACGTCCACATCCACGACCATGTCCACGTCCACGTCCACGTCCACGTCCACGTCCATGTCCACGTCCACGTCCACGTCCATGTCCACGTCCACGTCCACGTCCACGTCCATGTCCACGTCCACGTCCACCTCCACCTCCACGTCCACGTCCACGTCCATGTCCACGTCCATGTCCGTCCACGTCCACGTCCATGTCCACGTCCGTCCTGTCCACGTCCACGTCCACGTCCACGTCCCATGTCCACGTCCATGTCCACGTCCACGTCCACGTCCACGACCACGTCCACCTCCACGTCCACGTCCACGTCCACGACCATGTCCACGTCCACGTCCACGTCCACGTCCACGTCCACGTCCATGTCCATGTCCATGTCCACGTCCACGTCCACGTCCACGTCCACGTCCACGTCCACGACCATGTCCACGTCCACGTCCACGTCCACGTCCACATCCATGTCCACGTCCACGTCCATGTCCACATCCTTGTCCACGTCCATGTCCACGTCCACGTCCACGTCCATGTCCACGTCCAAGTCCTCCACGTCCACGTCCATGTCCACGTCCACGTCCACGTCCACGACCACGTCCACGTCCACGTCCACGTCCACGACCATGTCCACGTCCACGTCCACGTCCACGTCCATGTCCACGTCCATGTCCATGTTCACGTCCACATCCACGTCCACGTCCACGTCCATGTCCATGTCCACGTCCACATCCACGTCCACGTTCACGTCCACGTCCACGCCATGTCCACGTCCACGTCCATGTCCACGTCCACGTCCACGTCCATGTCCACGTCCACGTCCATGTCCACGTCCATGTCCACATCCACATCCACGTCCACATCCACGTCTTGGTCCATATCCACGTCCACGTCCATGTCCACGTCCACGTCCATGTCCACGTCCATGTCCACGTCCACGTCTACGTCCATGTCTACGTCCATGTCCACGTCCATGGTCCACGTCCACGTCCACGTCCATATCCATGTCCACGTCCACGTCCACGTCCACGTCCACCTCCACGTCCACCTCCACGTCCACGTCCACGTCCACGTCCACGTTCACGTCCATGTCCACGTCCACGTCCATGTCCACGTCCATGTCCATGTCCACGTCCATGTCCACGTCCACGTCCACGTCCTCGTCCATGTCCACGTCCACGTCCATGTCCACGTCCATGTCCACGTCCACGTCCACGTCCACGTCCACGTCCACATCCATGTGGACGTCCAAGTCCTCCACGCCACGTCCACGTCCTTGTCAACCTCCACGTCCACGACCACGTCCACGTCCACGTGCACGTCCATGTCCACGACCATGTCCACGTCCACGTCCACGTCCACGTCCATGTCCACGTCCACGTCCACGTCCATGTCCACGTCTACGTCCACGTCCATGTCCACGTCCATGTCCACGTCCATGTCCACGTCCACGTCCACGTCCACGTCCATGTCCACGTCCACGTCCACGTCCACGTCCACGTCCACGTCCATGTCCACGTCCACGTCCACGTCCACCTCCATGTCCACGTCCACGTCCACGTCCACGTCCATGTCCACGTCCACGTCCACCTCCACGTCCACCTCCACGTCGACGTCCATGTCCACGTCCACGTTCACGTCGACGTCCATGTCTACGTCCATGTCCACGTCCACGTCCACGTCCACGTCCATGTCCACGACCACGTCCACGTCCACGTCCATGTCCACGTCCACAACCACGTCCACGTCCACGTCCACGTCCACATCCACGACCATGTCCACGTCCACGTCCACGTCCACGTCCACGTCCATGTCCACGTCCACGTCCACGTCCATGTCCACGTCCACGTCCACGTCCACGTCCATGTCCACGTCCACGTCCACCTCCACCTCCACGTCCACGTCCACGTCCATGTCCACGTCCATGTCCACGTCCACGTCCACGTCCACGTCCATGTCCACGTCCACGTCCATGTCCACGTCCACGTCCACGTCCACGTCCATGTCCACGTCCATGTCCACGTCCACGTCCACGTCCACGACCACGTCCACCTCCACGTCCACGTCCACGTCCACGACCATGTCCACGTCCACGTCCACGTCCACGTCCACGTCCACGTCCATGTCCATGTCCATGTCCACGTCCACGTCCACGTCCACGTCCACGTCCACGTCCACCTCCATGTCCACGTCCACGTCCACGTCCACGTCCTCGTCCATGTCCACGTCCACGTCCACCTCCACTTCCACCTCCACGTCCACGTCCACGTCCACGTTCACGTCCACGTCCACGTCTACGTCCATGTCCACGTCCACGTCCACGTCCATGTCCACGTCCACGTCCACGTCCACGTCCATGTCTACGTCCACGTCCACGTCCAGGTCCACGTCCACGTCCACGACCACGTCCACGTCCACGTCCACGTCCATGTCCACGTCCACGTCCATGTCCACGTCCACGTCCACGTCCACGTCCATGTCCACGTCCACGTCCATGTCCACGACCACGTCCACGTCCACGTCCACGTCCACGTCCATGTCCACGTCCATGTCCACGTCCATGTCCATGTCCATGTCCACGTCCATGTCCACGTCCACGTCCACGTCCATGTCCACGTCCACGTCCACGTCCATGTCCACGTCCACGTCCACGTCCCCGTCCACGTCCCCGTCCATGTCCACGTCCACGTCCAAGTCCACGTCCACGTCCATGTCCACCTCCACGTCCACGTCCACGTCCACGTCCATGTCCACGTCCACGTCCACGTCCATGTCCACGTCCATGTCCACGTCCACAGCCACGTCCACGTCCATGTCCACGTCCACGTCCACGTCCATGTCCACGTCCATGTCCACGTCCACGTCCACGTCCATGTCCACGTCCACGTCCACGTCCACGTCCACCTCCATGTCCACGTCCACGTCCACGTCCACGTCCACGTCCATGTCCACGTCCACGTCTACGTCCACGTCCACGTCCATGTCCACGTCCACGTCCACGTCCATGTCCACGTCCACGTCCACGTCCACGTCCATGTCCACGTCCACGTCCACCTCCACCTCCACGTCCACGTCCACGTCCATGTCCACGTCCATGTCCATGTCCACGTCCATATCCACGTCCATGTCCACGTCCACGTCCACGTCCACGTCCACGTCCATGTCCACGTCCATGTCCACGTCCACGTCCACGTCCACGACCACGTCCACCTCCACGTCCACGTCCACGTCCACGTCCACGACCATGTCCACGTCCACGTCCACGTCCACGTCCACGTCCACGTCCATGTCCATGTCCACGTCCACGTCCACGTCCACGTCCACGTCCACCTCCATGCCCACGTCCACGTCCACGTCCACGTCCATGTCCACGTCCACGTCCACCTCCACTTCCACCTCCACGTCCACGTCCACGTCCACGTCCACGTTCACGTCCACGTCCACGTCTACGTCCATGTCCACGTCCACGTCCACGTCCATGTCCACGTCCACGTCCACGTCCACGTCCATGTCTACGTCCACGTCCACGTCCAGGTCCACGTCCACGTCCACGACCACGTCCACGTCCACGTCCACGTCCACATCCATGTCCACGTCCACGTCCATGTCCACGTCCACGTCCATGTCCACGTCCACGTCCACGTCCACGTCCACGTCCACGTCCATGTCCACGTCCACGTCCACGTCCATGTCCACGTCCATGTCCACGTCCATGTCCACGTCCACGTCCACGTCCATGTCCACGTCCACGTCCACGTCCACGTCCATGTCCACGTCCACGTCCACGTCCCCGTCCACGTCCCCGTCCATGTCCACGTCCACGTCCAAGTCCACGTCCACGTCCATGTCCACCTCCACATCCACGTCCACGTCCACGTCCACGTCCATGTCCACGTCCACGTCCACGTCCACGTCCATGTCCACGTCCATGTCCACGTCCACGTCCATGTCCACGTCCACGTCCACGTCCACGTCCATGTCCACGTCCATGTCCACGTCCACGTCCACGTCCATGTCCACGTCCACGTCCACGTCCACGTCCACATGCATGTCCACGTCCACGTCCACGTCCACGTCCACGTCCACGTCCATGTCCACGTCCAAGTCCTCCACGTCCATGTCGACGTCCATGTCCACGTCCACGTCCACGTCTACGTCCACGACCACGTCCACGTCCACGACCATGTCCACGTCCACGTCCACGTCCACGTCGATGTCCACGTCCACGTCCACGTCCACGTCCACATCCACATCCATGTCCACGTCCAAGTCCTCCATGTCCACGTCCACGTCCATGTCCACGTCCACGTCCACGTCCACGACCAGGTCCACGTCCACGTCCACGTCCACGTCCACGTCCATGTCCACGTCCACGTCCACGTCCACGTCCACGTCCATGTCCACGTCCACGTCCATGTCCATGTCCACGTCCACGTCCACGTCCACGTCCATGTCCACGTCCACGTCCACGTCCACGTATACGTCCATGTCCACGTCCACGTCCACGTCCACGTCCACGTCCATGTCCACGTCCAAGTCCTCCACGTCCACGTCCATGTCCATGTCCACGTCCACGTCCACGTCCACGACCACGTCCACGTCCACATCCAAGTCCACGTCCACGTCCACGACCATGTCCACGTCCACGTCCACGTCCACGTCCACGTCCACGTCCATGTCCACGTCCACGTCCACGTCCATGTCCACGTCCATGTCCACGTCCACGTCCACGTCCATGTCCACGTCCACGTCCACGTCCACGTCCACGTCCACGTCCATGTCCACGTCCAAGTCCTCCACGTCCATGTCCACGTCCATGTCCAGGTCCACGTCCACGTCCACGACTAGGTCCACGTCCACGTCCACGTCCACGCCCACGTCCATGTCCACGTCCAAGTCCACGTCCACGTCCACGTCCACGTCCATGTCCACGTCCACGTCCACGTCCACGTCCACGTCCACGTCCATGTCCACGTCCATGTCCACGTCCACTTCCATGTCCACGTCCACGTCCGTGTCCACGTCCACGTCCACGTCCACGACCATGTCCACGTCCACGTCCACGTCTACTTCCACGTCCACGTCCACGTCCACGTCCATGTCCATGTCCATGTCCACGTCCACGTCCATGTCCACGTCCATTCACATCCACGTCCATGTCCATGTCCACGTCCACGTCCACGTCCACGTCCATGTCCACGTCCACGTCCATGTCCACGTCCATGTCCACGTCCATGTCCACGTCCGAGCCCACTTCCACGTCCACGTCCATGTCCACGTCCACGTCCATGTCCACGTCCATGTCCACGTCCACGTCCATGTCCACGTCCATGTCCACGTCCACATCCACGTCCACGTCCATGTCCACGTCCACGTCCACGTCCAAGTCCACGTCCACGTCCACGTCCAAGTCCACGTCCACGTCCACGTCCAAGTCCTCCACGTCCACGTCCACGTCCATGTCCATGTCCACGTCCACGACCAGGTCCACGTCCACGTCCACGTCCACGTCTACGTCCTCGTCCATGTCCACGTCCAAGTCCACGTCCACGTCCACGTCCACGTCCATGTCCACGTCCACGTCCAGGTCCACGTCCACGTCCATGTCTACGTCCGTGTCCACGTCCACTTCCATGTCCACGTCCACGTCCGTGTCCTCGTCCACGTCCACGTCCTCGACCATGTCCACGTCCACGTCCACATCCACGTCCACGTCCACGTCCACGTCCACGTCCACGTCCACGACCAGGTCCACGTCCACGTCCACGTCCATGTCCACGTCCACGTCCACGTCCATGTCCACGTCCACGTCCATGTCTACGTCCATGTCCACGTCCACGTCCACGTCCATGTCCACGTCCATGTCCACGTCCATGTCCATGTCCACGTCCATTTACGTCTACGTCCACGGCCATGTCCACGTCCACGTCCACGTCCATGTCCACGTCCACGTCCACGTCCACGTCCATGTCCACGTCCACGTCCATCTCCACGTCCACGTCCACGTCCATGTCCACGTCCACGTCCACTTCCACGTCCACGTCCATGTCCACGTCCACGTCCACGTCCACGTCCATGTCCATGTCCATGTTCACGTCTACGTCCATGTCCACGTCCACGTCCACGTCCACGTCCACGTCCATGTCCACGTCCACGTCCACGTCCAAGTCCACGTCCACGTCCACGTCCAAGTCCACGTCCACGTCCACGTCCAAGTCCTCCACGTCCACGTCCACATCCATGTCCACGTCCAAGTCCACGTCCACGTCCACGTCCATGTCCACGTCTACGTCGACGTCCACGTCCACGTCCACGTCCACATCCACGTCCACGTCCATGTCCACGTCCACGTCCATGTCCACGTCCATGTCCACGTCCATGTCCACGTCCACGTCCACGTCCATGTCCACGTCCACGTCCACGTCCATGTCCACGTCCACGTCCATGTCCACGCCCATGTCCACGTCCACGTCCATGTCCACGTCCACGTCCACATCCATGTCCACGTCCAGGTCCACGTCCACGTCCACGTCCACGTCCATGTCCACGTCCACATCCACGTCCATGTCCACTTCCACGTCCACGTCCATGTCCATGTCCACGTCCACTTCCACGTCCATGTCCACGTCCATGTCCACGTCCACGTCCATGTCCATGTCCATGTCCACGTCCACGTCCACGTCCAACTCCACGTCCACGTCCACGTCCACGTCCACCTCCACGTCCACGTCCACGTCCAAGTCCACGTTCATGTCCACGTCCAAGTCCTCCACGTCCACGTCCAGGTCCATGTCCACATCCACGTCCACGTCCACGTCCACGTCCACGTCCACGTCCACGTCCATGTCCACGTCCACGTCCACGTCCACGTCTACGTCCACGTCCATGTCCACGTCCACGTCCATGTCCACGTCCATGTCCACGTCCATGTCCACGTCCATGTCCACGTCCACGTCCACGTCCACGTCCATGTCCACGTCCACGTCCACGTCCATGTCCACGTCCACGTCCACGTCCACGTCCACGTCCACGTCCAGGTCCACGTCCATGTCCACGTCCACGTCCATGTCCACGTCCACGTCCATGTCCACATCCACGTCCATGTCCACATCCACGTCCATGTCCACGTCCACGTCCAGGTCCACGTCCACGTCCACGACCACGTCCACGTCCACGTCCACGTCCACGGCCATGTCCACGTCCACGTCCACGTCCACGTCCACGTCCATGTCCACGTCCACGTCCACGTCCACGTCTACGTCCACGTCCACGTCCACGTCCACGTCCACTTCCATGTCCACGTCCACATCCACGTCCACGTCCACATCCACGTCCATGTCCACGTCCAAGTCCTCCACGTCCACGTCCATGTCCACGTCCACGTCCACGTCCACGTCCACGACCACGTCCACGTCCACGTCCACATCCACGTCCATGTCCACGACCATGTCCACGTCCATGTCCACGTCCACGTCCACGTCAACGTCCACGTCCACGTCCACGTCCATGTCCACGTCCACGTCCACGTCCACGTCCATGTCCACGTCCACGTCCACGTCCACGTCCACGTCCACGTCCATGTCCACGTCCACGTCCACGTCCATGTCCACGTCCATGTCCACGTCCACGTCCATGTCCACGTCCATGTCCATGTCCACGTCGACGTCCACGTCCACGTCCACGTCCACGTCCACATCCACGACCATGTCCACGTCCACGTCCACGTCCACGTCCACGTCCACGACCATGTCCACGTCCACGTCCACGTCCCCGTCCACGACCACATCCACGTCCACGTCCACGTCAACGTCCATGTCCACGTCCAAGTCCTCCACATCCACGTCCACGTCCACGTCCACGTCCACGTCCACGTCCACGACCACGTCCACGTCCACGTCCACGTCCACGACCATGTCCACGTCCACGTCCACGTCCACGTCCATGTCCACGTCCATGTCCACGTCCACATCCACGTCCACGTCCACGTCCACGTCCACGTCCATGTCCACGTCCAAGTCCTCCACGTCCACGTCCACGTCCATGTCCACGTCCAGGTCCACGTCCACGTCCACGACCACGTCCACGTCCACGTCCACGTCCACGGCCATGTCTACGTCCACGTCCACGTCCACGTCCACGTCCATGTCCACGTCCACATCCACGTCCACGTCCACATCGACGTCCATGTCCACATCCACGTCCATGTCCACGTCCATGTCCACGTCCACGTCCACGTCCACGTCTACGTCCACGTCCACGTCCATGTATACGTCCACGTCCGCATCCATGTCCACGTCCACGTCCACATCCATGTCCATGTCCACGTCCACGTCCACGTCCATGTCCACGTCCATGTCCACGTCCACGTCCACGTCCATGTCCACGTCCATGTCCACGTCCACGTCCACGTCCACGTCCACGTCCACGTCCACGACCATGTCCACGTCCACGTCCACGTCCACGTCCACGACCATGTCCACGTCCACGTCCACGTCCACGTCCACGTCCACGTCCACGACCACGTCCACGTCCACGTCAACGTCCATGTCCACGTCCACGTCCACGTCCATGTCCACGTCCACGTCCACGTCCACGACCACGTCCACGTCCACGTCCACGTCCACGTCCACGACCATGTCCACGTCCACGTCAACGTCCACGTCCAGGTCCACGTCCACGTCCACGACCACGTCCACGTCCACGTCCACGTCCACGGCCATGTCCACGTCCACGTCCACGTCCACGTCCACGTCCATGTCCACGTCCAAGTCCTATACGTCCACGTCCATGTCCACGTCCACGTCCACGTCCACGACCACGTCCACGTCCACGTCCACGTCCACGACCATGTCCACGTCCACGTCCACGTCCACGTCCATGTCCACGTCCATGTCCATGTCCATGTCCACGTCCATATCCACGTCCACGTCCACGTCCATGTCCATGTCCACGTCCACATCCACGTCCACGTTCACGTCCACGTCCACGTTTACGCCATGTCCACGTCCACGTCCATGTCCACGTCCACGTCCACGTCCACGTCCATGTCCACGTCCACGTCCATGTCCACGTCCATGTCCACATCCACATCCACGTCTACATCCACGTCCACGTCCATGTCCACGTCCAGGTCCACGTCCACGTCCACGTCCATGTCCACGTCCATGTCCACGTCTACGTCCATGTCCACGTCTACGTCCACGTCCACGTCCATGTCCACGTCCACGTCCGCGTCTACGTCCACATCCACGTCCATGTCCACGTCCACGTCCGCGTCCATGTCCACGTCCACGTCCATGTCCACGTCCATGTCCCGTCCACGTCCCCGTCCACGTCTATGTCCACGTCCATGTCCACGTCCACGTCGACGTCGACGTCCACGTCCACGTCCACGACCATGTCCACGTCCACGTCCACGTCCACGTCCACGTCCACGACCACGTCCACCCCATGCCCTCGGCGACCGTGATGGCCGACTTGTTGTCCACTCGCAGGACAGTCGGCTTCCCGGCGTCCAGTTGCCAGAATTCTGCGATGAGGAAGCGAAGGCGGCGTCCCTCCTTGCCAGCTTCAGTGGCCGCCACGTACTCCGACTCGGTTGACGACAACGTCGCGCACTTGATGCGCTGGCTCGACCAGGAGACTGCAGCCCCTCCGTAGACGAACACGTAGCCACCCGTGCTCGTCCTGTTCTGTTTATCACCAGCGTCGTCGGCGTCCACGTAGCCGACCAGCTCCAATGACTCAGGTCCACCGCCGAACTCCAGTGCGGTGTCGCGCGTATTGGCGAGGTAGGCGAGGCAGCGGTCGACCTCGCGCCAGTGCTGGTCGCTCCTCACCGTGAGGCCGCTCCCCAGCTTGCTGCAGGCGAAGGCGATCTCCGGCCTCGTCGTCGTCGCCGCGATCTGCAGCGAGCCGACCTTCTGCCGGTACTCCTCTTCCTGCCGCTCCTGTGCCTCCTCGTCATCGAACGTGAGCTCAGCGTAGGCATCGACCGAGACCGGCGTCTTCGGGGTGCGCCCGGTCTGCTCCTCGTCGATGAAGCGCCTACGAAGCTTGTCGGCGTAGCCCTGCTGGTGCAGCCACAGCTTCCCCGCCGACCTGTCGCGGACGATCTCCAGCCCGAGGTACTTCTGCACCGGCGAGATCTCACGCAGCTCAAAGGCGGCTTCCAGAAGCTCCTTCTGCTCCTTCAACATCGCAGCGCTACTGCTGGCGGCAAGTAGGTCGTCGACGTAGACCAGCACCCAGCAGGCCACTCCGTCCTTTCCGTCCTTGAAGTAGAGAGCCTCGTCGACCTGGCTCTTCTTCCACCCGGCGCCGACCAGCACGTCATTGAGCGCCAAGTACCATAGCAGCGGCGACTGCTTTAGCCCGTACAGGCTCTTCAGCAGCTTGCACACCCGGCCGGTCCCGTCGTTGAAGTAGTCCGGCTGGGACATGTAGAGCACCCTGTCGAGCTTGCTCTGCAAGAAGGCGTTCTTCATGTCGAGCTGCATCAGGTTGAGGTTGCGGACAGCGACGATGCTGAGGAAGATCCTCAGCGTGACGTAGGTGCCTACCGGCGCGAACGTCTCGTCGTAGTCGGCGCCGTACACCTACGTGAAGCCCTTCACAACCATCCTCGCCTTCTCGCGCTCGACGGTGTCGTCGACGTGGTACTTCGTCGTCAACAACCACCGGTTCTTCATGATGTTCACTCCCGGCGGACGTTGGACCAACTCCCACGTTCCCATGTTGAGGAGGCTGCGAATCTCCTCCTCCATGGCGGCCTTCACCGCCGGGCCCTTCCAGCTCGCCAACGCCTCCTTCACCGTCATCGTCGAGATGTCCCAACGGTGCTCGGGGTCGGCTAGCATGTCGGGGTCGAGCTCTGGAAACTCCTCATCCTCCTCGGCATCGTCGTACAGCAGGTCGTCGTCATTGTCCACGTCATACACTGTGGTGAAGGCAGCGGGGACGAAGAAGTCAGGCGGCCTCCGAAGTCGGCCTGAACGCCGTGGTCCCTGCTGGACCTCCTCGGCGTCCCTTCCATCATCGCTGTCGTCGCTGCCCTCGGCGTCCTGCTGTTCCTCAGTCGGCGTCCCAGCCGACTGTTCTACTGCGGCCGGCTTCCCAGCCGACTTCTCCCCTGTGGTCGGGTCCCCTGCCGACTGCTCCTTGGTCGGCGTCACTGCTGCCTGCTCCTTTGTCGGCCGCTGGTCCTCGACCTGCTTCTCGACCTGCTCCTCCCCTGTCGACGTCGACTGCAATCCCACGTCGACCTGCCGCTCGTCACGTCGGCCACCGGCGATGCACTTGGCCGAAGGCGACGTCCCACTACTCCCTCCTTCGCCGGAGGCCGACACCGAGGTCAGCCCACGCAGGTCGGCCACGAGGGGAGGGGCAGGGGTCGGAGGGGGAGGAGTAGGGCGTACGTCCTCGACGTCCGTAATAGCAAGCTCACCGACCTCGGCAAGCAGTGGCAGCGTCGCCGACGAGGTGTCAGAGGGCGGGGTGGGCGACGAGCGGCCGGACACCGACCCGTACTCCGTCTTCCACTCGGCCAGCGACAGCTCCTCGTAGAACATCACATCCGACGTGGTGACCACCCGGTCGGCGTCGACGTCGAGGAGCTCCCAGCCCTTGCTCGCCGCCGACACGCCAAGGTGCAGGCCCCACCTGGCCTTCGGCTGCAGCTTCCCACCACGCTGCTGCTCGGTGACTAAGAACTGCGCCATGCAGCCCCACACCCGCGCCAGCGACCAGTCGGGCTTCTTCCCGGTCAGCAGTTGGTACGGCGTCGTCCCCGGCGGCAGAGTCGACCTCTCAAGGCAGTTGCGGACCTAGACGGCCTGCCGGAGAGCGAGGTGCCACCAGTGGTGCTGCACGCCCATGTGCAGCAGCATTGTCCGCACCGACTCCACCACTGTCCTCATCTCCCGCTCCGCCATGCCGTTCTGCTGCGGGGTGTATGGGCAGGTCAGGTCGTGGACGATCCCCTTGCCGTTCACGAAGTCGGTGAACTGCTTCCCGAGGAACTCCCCTCCCCGGTCAGATCGCAGCATCAACACTGACTTCTTCGTCTGGCGCTCAGCCACCGCCAGCCACTGTATGAAGGCTTGCAACGCATCTGACTTCTTGGTGACCGGCTTCACCCACACATAGCGGGTCTTGCGGTCCTTCAGGAGCAAGAAGTACAGGCTACCATCCTTGGCAGCCACGCGGAACGGCCCGCACAGGTCAATGTGCACGACGGCCAGCACGTCGTCGGCGTCGGAGCCTTGGTCGGGGAAGGTGTGCCGCGCCAGTTTCCTGCCGGCGCACGAGACACACGGGGAGTCGGCGTCCATCGCCGACTTGAGATCCAGCCCAATGGCGACCTCGTTCTTCGCCGAGCTCCGTATGGTGTCCATGCCGACATGCGCAAGCCTCGCATGCATCCGGTCCGGCGTCGACTTCGTCTTCGAGACGATCGCCCGCAGAGCCACCACCTCCGTCGTGGGCGGCGTCGACCTCGTCGCGCAGGGACGCAGGTCGGTGCAGAGGACTCGCTCAGAGTACGTCGCCCGCCCGAGCACCTCCTCTGCTGCCGAGACGAGCAGCATGCCGTCGCCGTCCTCCTGCAGCTTCAAGCCGTGCTCCTTCAGCTGGCCGGCCGACAGCAGGCTGGCCCGCACACCCGGGACGTACAGCACGTCGGGGATCAGCACCTCCTTCCCGGCCTCTCCTTGCAGGGAGACGGTGCCACGGCCCTGAACGTCCTGCAGCGCCCCATTAAAGCCGCGCACGTGCTTGATGGAGCCACTCGGCTGCAGGTCGACGAAGGCTTCCTTCGTTCCCATCAGGTGGTGGGAGCAACCGCTGTCGAGCAGGACCACCGCCGGGTTCGCCTGCACAGCTGCTGCCACCGCTTGGAAGTCCTCTCCGGCCTCCGGCGCCAGAGAGATGGTCGGCTCCACGACCCCGACCAGCGAGCACGACGCCATCTTGTCGTCTCGTCCCTTGCCGCCTGCAACGGAGTCGGCGTCCTTCGCCGAAGTCGATGCCTTGGTCGATTGTTTCTCCTTGCGCGGATGATTTCCTCCACGACGAGGACGACGGCTGCCAGACCTCCCGCGGCTGCCCTTGTCGTCGTCGTCGGAGTCACTGCGGTCGGGACAATCGAAGGAGAGGTGATCGGGGCTGTGGCAGATCTAGCACTCCCGACGTCGACCTCCTCCTCCTCGACCGCCGTCCTTGGTCGACTTCTTCTCGACCTCCTTGGTCGACTTCCAGCCACCGCTCCTGCCGCCACCAGGCTGTCCGCGCTGTCCTGGTCGGCCTCCTTGCTTCGCCGGGGCGACAAAGTTGGCCTGCGCCAAGAGCTCCTGCGATCGCTCAGCCTCCTGCATCGCCTCGTCCTGCAAGATGTACGAGGTCAGGTTGTCCTCGTTGAGCGTCGCCCTCGTGCTCGGCGCCATAGACAGCCGCTTCAGGAGGTTATAGCTGCTAGACAGTCCCTGCATGACATGGGTGATGTACGACGCCGTGGAGTACTGCGCGCCGGCCATCCTGATGGTGGCGAGGATTCGCCTGGCTCGGTTGCAGTAGTCGGTCGCACTCTCCTCGTCGCCCATACGCAGGTGTGTCAGCTGTCCCTCCAGCTGGGCGATGAACAGGTCCTCGGTGACCTGGTACGTCGACTCAATGAAGTGCCACGCCCGGTGGCCGGCGTCGAGGTACTCCCGGCACCACTTCAAGGCGATCTGCACGCCCGGCGAGCAGCACCGCGAGATGACCGTGAAGGTCAACAGCTGCACGGCGCGAAACTCCACCCGCAAGTCGGGGTGGTGCTCCCCCGGCGTCGCCACGGTCCCTCGGGCGAAGCTGATCAGCCCGGCCATCTCCAGCTGGGGCTCGATAGCTTCCTTCCAGGTGAGAATGTCGGGTCGGCCGACCAGCGGAGGGGTGACCGAGATCGTGTCTGAAGGCGTAAACTTGAAGTAGCCGTAGCTCGGTGCAATCCCACCCGCCGTCACCTGGGTCGCCGACATCGGCGACAATCCACTTCGACGCCCTCCGATGTCGCCCTGCGAGTAGCCTGCAGCCGCTGACGACTGCAACCCTCGCGTCTGAACGCCGCCGACTTCACCGGCGTGTATCACACCTCGGTGCCTCGACGTGCCTTCCGCACTGCTGCCGACCTAACCTCCACCGGCGTTGACGCCCACGTCGACGCCGCCTTCGTTGTTCACCGGACAAGGAGAGGCAGGTCGAGACGGGTGCTCTCTCGCCCACATGGAGCGGAGTCCAGCCTCGACGACCGCCCAGGGCAAGTCGCCATACTCATTGGCCTCGTGCTTCCTCCTCGCGTTCTCCAACCGTGCCTCTAGGGTGTCCACCACCCCCGCGTCACCTACGGCTCCTACCATAGTGACTACAGCACAGTTGCCGGCCTGCAAATACGAAATAGGTAAGTGGTGTCTACGTCGACCTGACTGAAAGGTAAGTCGTGTGCCGTCCACGCTCACCGCACCATGCGGAGATAACTGCAGCAACGGGAGCTAGGCTACGGGCTAGGCACGTGTGCTCGTGTGATCTCTGCGTTCGTTAGTCCTTAGTCGTTTTCCTTGTGCACACACTACTTGCTAGTTCACGGGGAAAATTGGCAAGAGTTTCACTAGGAAAAGTTCAGAACAATAATGGTACAATGAAGTTGGCAATGCAAGACTACATCAGAGCTAGCATTCAGGTTGGTCGACTACCAGCACAGCATGGTCGACCGCGTTCCAGCACGACTTGGTCGACCACGCTACAGCAGTGCAAAGTCGACAGCTTGCCAACGCTGCAGGTTGACGGTGTGCCAGCATTGCTCACGCAGGACAGCAGTGCACCCGCTTTGCAGGTGCGCGCAGATGATTGGCATGCAAAGTCTCGTCACCTGTACAGCGCACACACCACGTCAACCTCGGGCTAGCGACTGCCTCTGATCCGCCACGACGACCTCGGGATACCACCATGGAGGTCGGTCTCGCCAACTTCGCCAGGGCGACCGTCGTACTCCTCCGCAGCACTTCGCCACCCAGGTAACCTGGTCGACCGGGCAACCGCGTCGACAGGCAGCTCCCATTCGTGCCCGTCGACCTCCCAAGTCGACGACCACCTCCACGTCGACCTCACCAGGTCGACGACACCATCGGTCGACCTCCTTCAGGTCGATGTCCCCTCTGGTCGACCAGCTCCACGTCGACCAGCACAGTCGTCGGCCGACCACCCACGTCGGCCGCCCGAAGCTGGCGTCACGAAGTTGACGCCCCGCTACTCGACGCCCAACTGCTCAGTGTCCTGAGTCGAGGTTGACGTCGGCCCCTCCTTCGTCGACCACCAGGTCGAGTCGACCACTTAACAGGTCGACCAGCAGTCCGTTAGCCGACTGCCGAAGTCGGCTTCCCCAAGTTGACGTCACCAAGTTGACGTCCTCCGCAGGTCGACACCCAAGTCGACCTCCCTGAAGTCGGCGCCACCCTGAAGTCGGCGCCCGTGCAGTGGTCCCCCGTGCAGGTCGACCTCCTCGTCGACCAGCTCACCCACTGCTGAAGGCCGGCTGCTCCCCTCACACCCGACCACGAAGTCGGCTCCGCCCAAGCGAGGACGGGGCCAATACCCAACTCCCGTTGACAGACATGGACGTGGACGTGGACGTGGACGTGGACGTGGACATGGACATGGACGTGGACGTGGACGTGGACGTGGACGTGTACGTGGACGTGGACGTGGACGTGGACGTGGACATGGACGTGGACGTGGACGTAGACGTGGACCTGGACGTAGACGTGGACGTGGACGTGGACGTGGACATGGACGTGGACATGGACGTGGACGTGGACGTGGACGTGGAGATGGACGTGGACGTGGACGTGGACGTGGATGTGGACGTGGACGTGGACGTGGACGTGGACATGGTCGTGGACGTGGACGTGGACATGGACGTGGACGTGGACGTGGACGTGGACGTGGATGTAGACATGGACGTAGACGTGGACGTGGACGTGGAGGTGGACGTGGACGTCGTCTTGGACGTGGACGTGGACGTGGACATGGACGTGGACGTGGACATGGACGTGGACGTGGACGTGGACGTGGACGTGGACATGGACGTGGACGTGGACGTGGACGTGGACATGGACGTGGACGTGGACTTGGACGTGGACATGGACGTGGACGTGGACGTGGACGTGGACGTGGACATGGACATGGACGTGGACGTGGACGTGGACGTGGACGTGCACGTGCACGTGGACGTGGACGTGGACGTGGACGTGGACGTGGACGTGGACGTGGACGTGGACGTGGACGTGAACGTGGACGTGGACGTGGACGTGCGTGGACGTGGACATGGACGTGGACGTGGACGTGGACGTGGACGTGGAGATGGACGTGGACTTGGACGTGGACGTGGACGTGGACGTGGACATGGACGTGGACGTGGACGTGGACGTGGACATGGACGTGGACGTGGACGTGGACGTGGACCTGGACGTGGACATGGACGTGGACGTGGACGTGGAGGTGGAGATGGACATGGACGTGGACGTGGACATGGTCGTGGACGTGGATCTGGACGTGGACATGGACGTGGACGTGGACGTGGACGTGGACATGGACCTGGACGTGGACGTAGACATGGACGTGGACGTGGACGTGGACCTGGACGTGGACGTGGACATGGACGTGGACGTGGACATGGACGTGGACATGGACGTGGACGTGGACGTGGACATGGACTTGGACGTGGACGTGGACGTGGACGTGGACATGGACGTGGACATGGACCTGAACGTGGACGTGGACGTAGACGTGGACGTGGACGTGGACGTGGACGTGGACATGGACGTGGACTTGGACGTGGACGTGGACATGGACGTGGACGTGGACGTGGACGTGGACATGGACATGGACATGGACATGGACGTGGACGTGGACGTGGACGTGGACGTGGACATGGACGTGGACGTGGACGTGGATGTGGACGTGGACATGGACGTGGACGTGGACATGGACGTGGACGTGGACGTGGACGTGGACGTGGAGATGGACGTGGACGTGGACGTGGACATGGACGTGGACATGGACGTGGACGTGGACGTGGACGTGGACATGGACGTGGACGTGGACGTGGACGTGGACATGGACGTGGACATGGACGTGGACGTGGACGTGGACATGGACGTGGAGGTGGAGATGGACGTGGACGTGGACGTGGACATGGACGTGGACGTGGACGTGGACATGGACGTGGACGTGGACGTGGACATGGACCTGGACGTGGACGTGGACATGGACGTGGACGTGGACGTGGACGTGGACGTGGATGTGGACGTGGACATGGACATGGACTTGGACGTGGACGTGGACGTGGACCTGGACGTGGACGTGGACATGGACGTGGACGTGGACGTGGACGTGGACGTGGACATGGACGTGGACGTGGACATGGATGTGGACATGGACCTGCACGTGGACGTAGACGTGGACGTGGACGTGGACGTGGACATGGACGTGGACGTGGACGTGGACGTGGACATGGACGTGGACGTGGACGTGGACGTGGACATGGACATGGACATGGACGTGGACGTGGACGTGGACGTGGACGTGGACGTGGAGATGGACGTGGACGTGGACGTGGACATGGTCGTGGACATGGACGTGGACGTGGACGTGGACGTGGACGTGGACGTGGACGTGGACGTGGACATGGACGTGGACGTGGACGTGGACGTGGACGTGGACCTGGACGTGGACGTGGACGTGGACGTGGACGTGGACCTGGACGTGGACGTGGACGTGGACATGGACGTGGACGTGGACGTGGACGTGGACGTGGACGTGGACGTGGACATGGACGTGGACATGGACATGGACGTGGACGTCGACGTGGACGTGGACGTGAACGTGGACGTGGACGTGGACATGGACATGGACGTTAACGTGGACGTGGACGTTGACCTGGACGTGGACGTGGACGTGGACGTGGACCTGGACGTGGATGTGGACGTGGACGTGGACATGGACGTGGACGTGGACGTGGGCGTGGACGTGGACGTGGACGTAGACATGGACGTGGACATGGACGTGGACATGGACGTCGACGTGGACATGGACGTGGACGTGGACATGGACGTGGACGTGGACGTGGACGTGGACGTGGACGTGGACGTAGACGTGGACGTGGACATGGACGTGGACGTGGACGTGGACATGGACGTCGACTTGGACGTGGACGTGGACATGGACGTTAACGTGGACGTGGACGTGGACCTGGACGTGGACGTGGACCTGGACGTGGACGTGGACATGGACGTGGACGTGGACGTGGACGTGGACATGGACGTGGACGTGGACGTGGACATGGACGTGGAGATGGACATGGACGTGGACATGGACCTGAACGTGGACGTGTACGTGGACGTGGACGTGGACGTGGACGTGGACATGGACGTGGACGTAGACGTGGACCTGGACCTGGACGTGGACCTGGACGTGGACGTGGACATGGACGTGGACGAGGACGTGGACCTCGACCTGAACATGGACGTGGACGTGGACGTGGACATGGACGTGGACGTGGACGTGGACGTGGACGTGTACGTGGACCTGGACGTAGACGTGGACGTGGACGTGGACATGGACGTTAACGTGGACGTGGACGTTGACCTGGACGTGGACGTGGACGTGGACGTGGACCTGGACGTGGACGTGGACGTGGACGTGGACATGGACGTGGACGTGGACGTGGACGTGGACGTGGACGTGGACGTGGACGTAGACATGGACGTGGACATGGACGTGAACATGGACGTGGACGTGGACATGGACGTGGACGTGGACGTGGACGTGGACGTGGACGTGGACGTAGACGCGGACGTGGACATGGACGTGGACGTGGACGTGGACATGGACGTCGACTTGGACGTGGACGTCGACATGGACGTTAACGTGGACGTGGACGTGGACCTGGACGTGGACGTGGACCTGGACGTGGACGTGGACATGGACGTGGACGTGGACGTGGACGTGGACATGGACGTGGACGTGGACGTGGACATGGACGTGGAGATGGACATGGACGTGGACATGGACCTGAACGTGGACGTGTACGTGGACGTGGACGTGGACGTGGACATGGACGTGGACGTGGACGTGGACGTGGACCTGGACCTGGACGTGGACCTGGACGTGGACGTGGACATGGACGTGGACGAGGACGTGGACCTCGACCTGAACATGGACGTGGACGTGGACGTGGACATGGACGTGGACGTGGACGTGGACGTGGACGTGTACGTGGACCTGGACGTGGACGTGGACGTGGACGTGGACATGGACGTGGACATGGACGTGGACGTGGACATGGACGTGGACGTGGACGTGGACGTAGACGTGGACGTGGACATGGACGTGGACGTGGACGTGGACATGGACGTGGACGTGGACGTGGACGTGGACATGGACGTGGACGTGGACGTGGACCTGGACGTGGACGTGGACGTGGACGTGGACGTGGACGTGGACATGGACGTGGACATGGACGTGGACGTGGACGTGGACGTGGACGAGGACATAGACGTGGACGTGGACGTGGACGTGGACGTGGACGTGGACGTGGACGTGGACATGGACGTGGAAGTGGCAAGGACGTGGACGTGGACGTAGACGTGGACGTGGACGTGGAGATGGACGTGGACGTGGACGTGGACATGGTCGTAGATGTGGACGTGGACATGGACGTGGACGTGGACGTGGACATGGACGTGGACATGGACGTGGACGTGGACGTGGACATGGACGTGGACGTGGACGTGGACGTGGACGTGGACGTGGACATGGACGTGGACGTGGACATGGACGTGGACGTGGACGTGGACGTGGACATGGACATGGACGTGGACGTGGACGTAGACGTGGACGTGGACGTGGACATGGACGTGGACGTGGACGTGGACGTGGACGTGGACGTGGACATGGACGTGGACGTGGACGTGGACGTGGACGTGGACGTGGACCTGGGCGTGGACGTGGACGTGGACGTGGACGTGGACGTGGATATGGACGTGGACGTGGACGTGGACCTGTGGACCTCGACGTGGACGTGGATATGGACGTGGACGTGGATATGGACCTGAACATGGACGTGGACGTGGACCTGGACGTGGACGTGGACGTGGACGTGGACGTGGACATGGACGTGGACTTGGACGTGGAAGTGGACGTGAACATGGACGTGGACGTGGACGTGGACATGGACGTGGACGTGGACGTGGACGTGGACGTGGACATGGACGTGGACGTGGACGTGGACATAGACGTGGACGTGGACGTGGACGTGGACGTGGACGTGGAAGTGGACGTGGACGTGGACGTGGACGTGGACGTGGACGTGGACGTGGACGAGGACGTGGACGTGAACGTGGACGTGGACGTGAACGTGGACGTGAACGTGGACGTGGACATAGACGTGGACGTGGACGTGGACGTGGACATGGACGTGGACGTGGACGTGGACATAGACGTGGACGTGGACGTGGACGTGGACGTGGACGTGGAAGTGGACGTGGACGTGGACGTGGACCTAGACGTGGACGTGGACGTGGACGTGGACGTGGACGTGGAAGTGGACGTGGACGTGGACGTGGACGTGGACGTGGACGAGGACGTGGACGTGGACGAGGACGTGGACGTGGACGTGGACGTGGACGTGGACGTGGACGTGAACGTGGACGTAGACATGGATGGGACGTGGACGTGGACGTGGACGTGGACGTGGACATGGTCGTGGACGTGGACATGGACGTGGTCGTGGATGTGGACGTGGACGTGGACATGGACGTGGACGTGGACGTGGACGTGGTCGTGGATGTGGACGCGGACCTGGAAGTGGATGTGGTCGTGGATGTGGTCCTGGTCGAGGACGTGGTCGTGGACGTGGATGTGGACGTGGAAGTGGACGTGGTCGTGGTCGTGGACGTGGTCGTAGACGGGGACGTGGTCGTCCACGACGTGGAGGTGGACGTGGACGTGGACATGGACGTGGTCGTGGACGTGGAGGACTTGGACGTGGACGTGGATGTGGACTTGGACCTTGACATGGACGTGGACGTGGTCGTGGACGTGGACGTGGTCGTGAAGGACGTGGACGTGGACGTGGACATGGTCGTGGACGTGGTTGTGGACGTGGACGTGGACGTGGTCGTGGACGTGGACGTGGACGTGGTCGTGGACGTGGACGTGGACGTTGACGTGGACGTGGACCTGGACGTGGACGTGGACGTGGACGTGGACGTGGATGTGGACGTGGACGTGGACGTGGTCGTGGACGTGGACGTGGACCTGGACGTGGACGTGGACATGGACGTGGACGTGGACGTGGACGTGGACGTGGACGTGGACGTGGAGGACTTGGACGTGGACATGGATGTGGACGTAGATGTGGACGTGGACGTGGACGTGGTCGTGGACGTGGACGTGGACGTTGACGTGGTCGTGGACTTGGACGTGGACGTGGACATGGACGTGGACGTGGTTGTGGACGTGGAGGACTTGGACGTGGACATGGACGTGGACGTGGACGTGGACGTGGACCTGGAGGTGGTCGTGGACGTGGACGTGGTCGTGGACGTGGACATGGACGTGGACATGGACGTGGACGCGGACGTGGACGTGGACGTGGACGTGGACGTGGTCGTGACGTGGACGTGGACATGGACGTGGACGTGGACGTGGACGTGGACGTGGACATGGACGTGGACGTGGACGTGGACATGGACGTGGACGTGGACGTGGACGTGGACGTGGACATGGACGTGGACGTGGACGTGGAGGACATGGACGTGGACGTGGACGTGGACATGGACATGGACGTGGACGTGGCAATGACGTGGACGTGGACATGGACGTGGACGTGGACGTGGACGTGGACGTGGACGTGGACGTGGACGTGGTCATGGACGTGGACGTGGACGTGGACGTGGACGTGGACCTGGACGTGGACGTGGACGTGGACGTGGACGTGGACGTGGACATGGCCGTGGACATGGACGTGGACGTGGACGTGGACGTGGACATGGACATGGACGTGGACATGGATGTGGACGTGGACGTGGAGGACTTGGACGTGGACATGGACGTGGACGTGGACGTGGACGTAGACGTGGACCTGGTCGTAGACATCCACGTGGACGTGGAAGGGGACGTGGACATGGACGTGGACGTGGACGTGGACGTGAACGTGGACGTGGACATGGACGTGGACGTGGACGAGGACGTGGACATGGACGTGGACGTGGACGTGGACGTGGACGTGGACATGGACATGGACTTGGACGTGGACGTGGACGTGGAAGTGGACGTGGACATGGACGTGGACGTGGACGTGGACGTGGACGTGAACGTGAGCGTGGACGTAGACATGGATGGGACGTGGACGTGGACGTGGACGTGGACGTGGACATGGTCGTGGACGTGGACATGGACGTGGTCGTGGATGTGGACGTGGACGTGGACGTGGACATGGACGTGGACGTGGACGTGGACGTGGTCGTGGATGTGGACGCGGACCTGGAAGTGGACGTGGTCGTGGATGTGGTCGTGGTCGTGGACGTTGAGGACGTGGTCGTGGACGTGGACGTGGACCTGGAAGTGGACGTGGTCGTGGTAGTGGACGTGGTCGTAGACGTGGACGTGGTCGTCCACGACGTGGAGGTGGACGTGGACGTGGACATGGACGTGGTCGTGGACGTGGAGGACTTGGACGTGGACGTGGATGTGGACTTGGACCTGGACGTGGACGTGGACGTGGTCGTGGACGTGGACGTGGTCGTGGAGGATGTGGACGTCGACGTGGACGTGGACGTGGTCGTGGACGTGGTCGTGGACGTGGACGTGGTCGTGGACGTGGACGTGGTCGTGGACGTGGACGTGGACGTGGACGTGGTCGTGGACTTGGACGTGGACGTGGACGCGGACGTGGACGTGGTCGTGGACGTGGAGGACTTGGACGTGGACATGGACGTGGACGTGGACGTGGACGTGGACCTGGAGGTGGTCGTGGACGTGGACGTGGTCGTGGACGTGGACGTGGACATGGACATGGACGTGGACGTGGACGTGGACGTGGACGTGGATGTGGACATGGTCGTGGACGTGGACGTGGTCGTGGACGTGGACGTGGACATGGACGTGGACGTGGACGTGGACGTGGACGTGGACGTGGACGTGGACGTGGACGTGGACGTGGACGTGGACGTGGACGTGGACATGGACGTGGACGTGGACGTGGATGTGGACGTGGACGTGGACATGGACATGGACGTGGACGTGGACGTGGACGTGGACATGGCCGTGGACATGGACGTGGACGTGGACGTGGACGTGGACATGGACGTGGACATGGATGTGGACGTGGACGTGGAGGACTTGGACGTGGACATGGACGTGGACGTGGACGTGGACGTAGACGTGGACCTGGTCGTAGACGTCCACGTGGACGTGGAAGGGGACGTGGACATGGACGTGGACGTGGACGTGGACATGGACGTGAACGTGGACATGGACATGGACGTGGACGTGGACGAGGACGTGGACATGGACGTGGACGTGGACGTGGACGTGGACATGGACTTGGACGTGGACGTGGACGTGGAAGTGGACGTGGACATGGACGTGGACGTGGACGTGGACGTGGACGTGAACGTGAACGTGGACGTAGACATGGATGGGACGTGGACGTGGACGTGGACGTGGACGTGGACATGGTCGTGGACGTGGACATGGACGTGGTCGTGGATGTGGACGTGGACGTGGACGTGGACATGGACGTGGACGTGGACGTGGACGTGGTCGTGGATGTGGACGCGGACCTGGAAGTGGACGTGGTCGTGGATGTGGTCGTGGTCGTGGACGTTGAGGACGTGGTCGTGGACGTGGACGTGGACCTGGAAGTGGACGTGGTCGTGGTAGTGGACGTGGTCGTAGACGTGGACGTGGTCGTCCACGACGTGGAGGTGGACGTGGACGTGGATATGGACGTGGTCGTGGACGTGGAGGACTTGGACGTGGACGTGGATGTGGACTTGGACCTGGACGTGGACGTGGACGTGGTCGTGGACGTGGACGTGGTCGTGGAGGATGTAGACGTCGACGTGGACGTGGACGTGGTCGTGGACGTGGTCGTGGACGTGGACGTGGTCGTGGACGTGGACATGGTCGTGGACGTGGACGTGGACGTGGACGTGGTCGTGGACTTGGACGTGGACGTGGACGCGGACGTGGACGTGGTCGTGGACGTGGAGGACTTGGACGTGGACATGGACGTGGACGTGGACGTGGACGTGGACCTGGAGGTGGTCGTGGACGTGGACGTGGTCGTGGACGTGGACGTGGACATGGACATGGACGTGGACGTGGACGTGGACGTGGACGTGGATGTGGACATGGTCGTGGACGTGGACGTGGTCGTGGACGTGGACGTGGACATGGACGTGGACGTGGACGTGGACGTGGACATGGACGTGGACGTGGACGTGGACGTGGACGTGGACATGGACGTGGATGTGGACGTGGAGGACATGGACGTGGACATGGACGTGGACGTTGACGTGGACGTGGACGTGGCCGTGGACATGGACGTGGACGTGGACATGGACGTGGACGTGGACATGGACGTGGACATGGACGTGGACGTGGACATGGACGTGGACGTGGACATGGACGTGGACGTGGACGTGGACGTGGACGTGGTTGTGGACGTGGACGTGGACGTGGACGTGGACGTGGACGTGGACATGGACGTGGACGTGGACGTGAACCTGGACATGGACGTGGACGTGGACGTGGACGTGGACATGGACGTGGACGTGGACGTGGACATGGACGTGGACATGGACGTGGACATGGACGTGGACGTGGACATGGACGTGAACATGGACATGGACGTGGACGTGGACGTGGACGTGGACATGGCCGTGGACATGGACGTGGACGTGGACGTGGACGTGGACATGGACGTGGACATGGATGTGGACGTGGACGTGGAGGACTTGGACGTGGACATGGACGTGGACGTGGACGTGGACGTAGACGTGGACCTGGTCGTAGACGTCCACGTGGACGTGGAAGGGGACGTGGACATGGACGTGGACGTGGACGTGGACATGGACGTGAACGTGGACATGGACATGGACGTGGACGTGGACGAGGACGTGGACATGGACGTGGACGTGGACGTGGACGTGGACATGGACTTGGACGTGGACGTGGACGTGGAAGTGGACGTGGACATGGACGTGGACGTGGACGTGGACGTGGACGTGAACGTGAACATGGACGTAGACATGGATGGGACGTGGACGTGGACGTGGACGTGGACGTGGACATGGTCGTGGACGTGGACATGGACGTGGTCGTGGATGTGGACGTGGACGTGGACGTGGACATGGACGTAGACGTGGACGTGGACGTGGTCGTGGATGTGGACGCGGACCTGGAAGTGGACGTGGTCGTGGATGTGGTCGTGGTCGTGGACGTTGAGGACGTGGTCGTGGACGTGGACGTGGACCTGGAAGTGGACGTGGTCGTGGTCGTGGACGTGGTCGTAGACGTGGACGTGGTCGTCCACGACGTGGAGGTGGACGTGGACGTGGACATGGACGTGGTCGTGGACGTGGAGGACTTGAACGTGGACGTGGATGTGGACTTGGACCTGGACGTGGACGTGGACGTGGTCGTGGACGTAGACGTGGTTGTGGAGGACGTGGACGTCGACGTGGACGTGGACGTGGTCGTGGACGTGGTCGTGGACGTGGTCGTGGACGTGGACGTGGTCGTGGACGTGGACGTGGATGTGGACGTAGTTGTGGACTTGGACGTGGACGTGGACGTGGACGTGGACATGGACGTGGACGTGGAGGACTTGGACGTGGACATGGACGTGGACGTGGACGTGGACGTGGACCTGGAGGTGGTCGTGGACATGGACGTGGACGTGGACGTGGACGTGGACATGGACATGGACGTGGACGTGGACGTGGACGTGGACATGGACGTGGACGTGGAGGTCGTGGACGTGGACGTGGACATGGACGTGGACGTGGACGTGGACGTGGACGTGGACGTGGACATGGACGTGTACGTGGACGTGGACGTGGACGTGGACGTGGACGTGGACGTGGACATGGACGTGGACATGGACGTGGACATGGACGTGGACGTGGACGTGGACATGGACGTGGACGTGGACGTGGACGTCGACATGGACGTGGACATGGACGTGGACATGGACGTGGACGTGGACATGGACGTGGACATGGACGTGGACGTGGACGTGGACGTGGACGTGGACATGGACGTGGACGTGGACGTGGACGTCGACATGGACGTGGACATGGACGTGGACATGGACGTGGACGTGGACATGGACGTGGACGTGGACGTGGACGTGGACGTGGTTGTGGACGTGGACGTGGACGTGGACGTGGACGTGGACATGGACGTGGACGTGGACATGGACGTGGACGTGGACGTGGACATGGACGTGGACGTGGACGTGGACGTGGACATGGACGTGGACGTGGACGTGGACATGGACGTGGACGTGGACGTGGACGTGGACATGGACGTGAACATGGACGTGGACGTGGACGTGGACGTGGACGTGGACATGGCCGTGGACATGGACGTGGACGTGGACGTGGACGTGGACGTGGACATAGACGTGGACGTGGACATGGACGTGGACGTGGACGTGGAGGACTTGGACGTGGACATGGACGTGGACGTGGACGTGGACGTAGACGTGGACCTGGTCGTGGACGTCGACGTGGACGTCGAAGTGGACGTGGACATGGACGTGGACGTGGACGTGGACGTGAACGTGGACGTGGACATGGACGTGGACGTGGACGTGGACGTGGACATGGACGTGGACGTGGACGTGGACGTGGACATGGACTTATACGTGGACGTGGAAGTGGACGTGGACGTGGACGTGAACGTGGACATGGTCGTGGACGTGAACGTGGACATGGACGTGGACGTGGACGTGGACGTGAACGTGGACGTAGACATGGATGGGACGTGGACGTGGACGTGGACGTAGACGTGGACGTGGACATGGTCGTGGACGTGGACATGGACGTGGTCGTGGATGTGGACGTGGACGTGGACGTGGACATGGACGTGGACGTGGACGTGGACGTGGTCGTGGATGTGGACGCGGACCTGGAAATGGACGTGGTCGTGGATGTGGTCGTGGTCGTGGACGTGGAGGATGTGGTCGTGGACGTGGACGTGGACGTAGAAGTGGACGTGGTCGTGGTCGTGGACGTGGTCGTAGACGTAGACGTGGTCGTCCATGACGTGGAGGTGGACGTGGACGTGGACATGGACGTGGTCGTGGACGTGGATGTGGACTTGGACGTGGTCGTGGACGTGGACGTGGTCGTGGAGGACGTGGACGTGGAGGACGTGGACGTGGACGTGGACGTGGACGTAGACGTGGTCGTCCACGACGTGGAGGTGGACGTGGACGTGGACATGGACGTGGTCGTGGACGTGGACCTGGACGTGGACGTGGACGTGGACATGGTTGTGGACGTGGACGTGGTCGTGGAGGACGTGGACGTGGACGTCGACGTGGATGTGGACGTGGACGTGGACGTGGACGTGGATGTGGACTTGGACGTGGTCGTGGACGTGGACGTGGTCGTGGAGGACGTGGACGTGGAGGACGTGGACGTCGACGTGGACGTGGACGTGGACGTGGTCGTCCACGACGTGGAGGTGGACGTGGACGTGGACATGGACGTGGTCGTGGACGTGGACCTGGACGTGGACGTGGACGTGGTCGTGGACTTGGACGTGGTCGTGGAGGACGTGGACGTCGACGTGGACGTGGACGTGGTCATGGACGTGGTCGTGGACGTGGACGTGGACGTGGTCGTGGACGTGGATGTGGTCGTGGACGTGGACGTGGACGTGGACGTGGTCGTGGACTTGGACGTGGACGTGGACGTGGACGTGGACGTGGACGTGGTCGTGGATGTGGACGTGGTCGTGGACTTGGACGTGGACGTGGACGTGGACGTGGACGTGGATGTGGACGTGGACGTGGTCGTGGATGTGGTCGTGGACGATGTGGTCGTGGTCGTGGACGTGGAGGATGTGGTCGTGGACGTGGACGTGGACGTGGAAGTGGACGTGGTCGTGGTCGTGGACGTGGTCGTAGACGTGGACGTGGTCGTCCACGACGTGGAGGTGGACGTGGACGGGGACTTGGACGTGGACGTGGATGTGGACTTGGACCTGGACGTGGACGTGGACGTGGACGTGGTCGTGGACGTGGTCGTGGAGGACGTGGACATCGACGTGGACGAGGACGTGGTCGTGGACGTGGTCGTGGACGTGGACGTGGACGTGGTCGTTGACGTGGACGTGGTCGTGGACGTGGACGTGGACGTGGACGTGGTCGTGGACTTGGACGTGGACGTGGACGTGGACGTGGACGTAGTCGTGGACGTGGAGGACTTGGACGTGGACATGGACGTGGACGTGGACGTGGACGTGGACCTGGAGGTGGTCGTGGACGTGGACGTGGTCGTGGACGTGGACGTGGACATGGAGATGGACGTGGACGTGGACGTGGAAGTGGACGTGGACATGGTCGTGGACGTGGACGTGGTCGTGGACGTGGACGTGGACATGGACGTGGACGTGGACCTGGACGTGGACGTGGACGTGGACATGGACGTGTACGTGGATGTGGACGTGGACGTGGACATGGACGTGGACGTGGACGTGGAGGACATGGACGTGGACATGGACGTGGACGTGGACGTGGACGTGGACGTGGACATGGACGTGGACGTGGACGTGGACGTGGACGTGGACATGGACGTGGACATGGACGTAAACGTGGACATGGACGTGGACGTGGACATGGACGTGGACGTGGACGTGGACGTGGTTGTGGACGTGGACGTGGACGTGGACGTGGACGTGGACGTGGACGTGGACGTGGACATGGACGTGGACATGGACATGGACGTGGACATGGACGTGGACATGGACGTGGAGGTGGACGTGGACATGGACGTGGACGTGGACATGGACGTGGACGTGGACGTGGACATGGACGTGGACGTGGACATGGACGTGAACATGGACGTGGACGTGGACATGGACGTGGACCTGGTCGTGGACGTCGAGGTGGACGTGGAAGTGGACGTGGACATGGACGTGGAAGTGGACGTGGACATGGACGTGGACGTGGACGTGGACATGGACGTGAACGTGGACGTGGACATGGACGTGGACGTGGACGTGGACGTGGACATGGACGTGGACGTGGACGTGGACATGGACATGGACTTGGACGTGGTCGTGGACGTGGAAGTGGACGTGGACGTGGACGTGGACGTGAACGTGGACGTAGACATGGATGGGATGTGGACGTGGACGTGGACGTGGACGTGGACGTGGACGTGGATATGGTCGTGGACGTGGACATGGACGTGGTCGTGGATGTGGACGTGGACGAGGACGTGGACATGGACGTGGACGTGGACGTGGACGTGGTCGTGGATGTGGACGCGAACCTGGAAGTGGACGTGGTCGTGGATGTGGTCGTGGTCGTGGACGTGGAGGACGTGGTTGTGGACGTGGACGTGGACGTGGAAGTGGACGTGGTCGTGGTCGTGGACGTGGTCGTAGACGTGGACGTGGTCGTCCTCGACGTAGAGGTGGACGTGGACGTGGACATGGACGTGGTCGTGGACGTGGAGGACTTGGATGTGGACGTGGATGTGGACTTGGACCTGGACGTGGACGTGGACGTGGTCGTGGACGTGGACATGGTCGTGGAGGACATGGACGTGGACGTGGACGTGGACGTGGTCGTGGACATTGACGTGGACGTGGACGTGGTCGTGGACGTGGACGTGGACGTGGTCGTGGACGTGGACGTGGACGTGGTCGTGGACTTGGACGTGGACGTGGACGTGGACGTGGACGTGGTCGTGGACGTGGAGGACTTGGACGTGGACATGGACGTGGTTGTGGACGTGGACGTGGACGTGGAAGTGGACGTGGTCGTGGTCGTGGACGTGGTCGTAGACGTGGACGTGGTCGTCCACGACGTGGAGGTGGACGTGGACGTGGACATGGACGTGGTCGTGGACGTGGAGGACTTGGATGTGGACGTGGATGTGGACTTGGACCTGGACGTGGACGTGGACGTGGACGTGGTCGTGGACGTGGACGTGGTCGTGGAGGACATGGACGTGGACGTGGACGTGGACGTGGTCATGGACATGGACGTGGACGTGGACGTGGTCGTGGACGTGGACGTGGACGTGGTCGTGGACGTGGACGTGGACGTGGACGTGGTCGTGGACTTGGACGTGGACGTGGACGTGGACGTGGACGTGGTCGTGGACGTGGAGGACTTGGACGTGGACATGGACGTGGACGTGGACGTGGACGTGGACCTGGAGGTGGTCGTGGACGTGGACGTGGTCGTGGACGTGGACGTGGACCTGGACGTCGACGTGGACGTGGACCTGGACGTGAACGTGGACCTGGACTTGGACGTGGACGTGGATGTGGACGTGGTCGTGGAGTGGACGTGGTCGTGGATGTCGACGTGGACGTGGACGTGGTCGTGGACGTGGACGTGGAAGTGGACGTTGACGTGGTCGTAGACGTGGTCGTGGTCATGGTCGTGGACATGGTCGTGGACGTGGACGTGGACGTGGACGTGGACGTGGTCGTGTACGTGGACGTGGACGTGGACGTGGACGTGGACGTCGTCGTGGACGTGGACGTGGTCGTGGACGTGGACGTGGACGTGGACGTGGACATGGACGTGGACGTGGACGTGGACGTGGAGATGGACGTGGACGTGGACGTGGACGCGGACATGGACGTGGACGTGGACATGGACGTGGACGTGGACGTGGACGTGGACTTGGACGTGGACGTGGACCTGGACGTGGACATGGACGTGGACGTGGACGTGGAGATGGACGTGGACGTGGACGTGGACGTGGACGTAGTCGTGGACGTGGAGGACTTGGACGTGGACATGGACGTGGACGTGGACGTGGACGTGGACCTGGAGGTGGTCGTGGGCGTGGACGTGGTCGTGGACGTGGACGTGGACATGGAGATGGACGTGGACGTGGACATGGACGTGGACGTGGACATGGTCGTGGACGTGGACGTGGTCGTGGACGTGGACGTGGACATGGACGTGGACGTGGACGTGGACATGGTCGTGGACGTGGACATAGACGTAGACGTGGACGTGGACATGGACCTGTACGTGGACGTGGACGTGGACGTGGACGTGGACATGGACGTGGACGTGGACGTGGAGGACATGGACGTGGACATGGACGTGGACGTGGACGTGGACGTGGACATGGACGTGGACGTGGACGTGGACGTGGACATGGACGTGGACATGGACGTGGACGTGGACATGGACGTGGACGTGGACATGGACGTGGACGTGGACGTGGACGTGGACGTGGACGTGGACATGGACGTGGACATGGACGTGGACATGGACATGGACGTGGACATGGACGTGGACATGGACGTGGACGTCGACGTGGACGTGGACGTGGACGTGGACATGGACGTGGACATGGACGTGGACATGGCCGCGGACATGGACGTGGACGTGGACGTGGACGTGGACGTGGACATTGACGTGGACGTGGACATGGACGTGGACGTGGACGTGGAGGACTTGGACGTGGACATGGATGTGGACGTGGACGTAGACGTGGACCTGGTCGTGGACGTCGACGTGGACGTGGAAGTGGACGTGGACATGGACGTGGACGTGGACGTGGACGTGGACGTGGACATGGACGTGAACGTGGACGTGGACATGGACGTGGACGTGGACGTGGACGTGGACATGGACGTGGACGTGGACGTGGACGTGGACATGGACTTGGACGTAGACGTGGACGTGGAAGTGGACGTGGACATGGACGTGGACGTGGACGTGGACGTGAACGTGGACGTAGACATGGATGGGATGTGGACGTGGACGTGGACGTGGACGTGGACGTGGACATGGTCGTGGACGTGGACATGGACGTGGTCGTGGATGTGGACGTGGACGTGGACGTGGACATGGACGTGGACGTGGACGTGGACGTGGTCGTGGATGTGGACGCGGACCTGGAAGTGGACGTGGTCGTGGATGTGGTCGTGGTCGTGGACGTGGAGGACGTGGTCGTGGACGTGGACGTGGACGTGGTCGTGGTCGTGGACGTGGTCGTAGACATGGACGTGGTCGTCCACGACGTGGAGGTGGACGTGGACATGGACATGGACGTGGTCGTGGACGTGGAGGACTTGGACGTGGACGTGGATGTGGACTTGGACCTGGACGTGGACGTGGACGTGGACGTGGTCGTGGACGTGGTCGTGGAGGACGTGGACGTGGACGTGGACGTAGTCGTGGACGTGGTCGTGGACGTGGACGTGGACGTGGTCGTGGACGTGGACGTGGACGTGGTCATGGACGTGGACGTGGACTTGGACGTGGTCGTGGACTTGGACGTGGATGTGGACGTGGACGTGGTCGTGGACGTGGAGGACTTGGACGTGGACATGGACGTGGACGTGGACGTGGACGTGGACCTGGAGGTGGTCGTGGACGTGGACGTGGTCGTGGACGTGGACGTGGACGTGGACGTGGTCGTGGACATGGACGTGGACGTGGTCGTGGACGTGGTCGTGGAAGTGGACGTGGACGTGGTCGTCTACGACGTGCACTTGGACATGGACGTGGACGTGGTCGTGGACGTGGAGGACTTGGACGTGGACGTGGACTGGACGTGGAAGTGGACGTGGACGTGGACGTGGACGTGGACGTGGGCGTGGACGTGGTCGTGGACGTGGACGTGGACGTGGTCCTGGGTGTGGTCATAGACGTGGACGTGGTTGTCCACGACGTAGACTTGGATGTGGACGTGGACGTGGACATGGACGTGGTCGTGGACGTGGAGGACTTGGACTTGGACGTGGACGTGGACGTGGACGTGGTCGTGGTCGTGGACGTGGTCGTGGAGGACGTGGACGTGGACGTGGAGGACTTGGACGTGGACGTGGACGTGGACGTGGACGTGGACGTGGACGTGGACGTGGACGTGGTCATGGTCCTCGACGTGGACGTGGACGTGGACGTGGTCGTGGTCGTGGACGTGGACGTGGACGTGGACGTGGTCGTGGTCGTGGACGTGGACGTGGACGTAGACGTGGTCGTGGACGTGGACGTGGACGTGGACGTGGACTTGGACGTGGACGTGGACGTGGACGTGGACGTGGACGTGGACATGGACAAGGACATGGACGTGGACGTGGACGTGGACGTGGACGTGGACGTGGACGTGGTCGTGGTCGTGGACGTGGACGTGGACGTGGACGTGGATGTGGACGTGGACGTGGTCGTGGACGTGGAGGACTTGGACGTGGTCATGGACATGGACATGGACGTGGACGTGGACGTGGTCGTGTAGTGGACGTGGACTTGGACGTGTACGTGGACGTGGACCTGGAGGTGGAAGTGGACGTGGACGTGGACGTGGTCGTGGAGTGGACGTGGACGTGGACCTGGACGTGGATGTGGACGTTGAAATGGACGTGGACGTGGACGTGGACGTGGCCGTGGAGTGGACGTGGACCTGGACGTGGTCGTGGACGTGGACGTGGTCGTGGACGTGGACCTGGACGTGGACGTGAACGTGGACGTGGACGGGGTCGTGGAGTGGACGTGGACGTGGACGTGGACGTAGTCGTGGAGTGGACGTGGACGTGGACGTGGATGTAGAGGTGGACGTGGTCATGGACGTGGAGGACTTGGACGTGGACGTGGACGTGGACGTGGAGGTGGAGGTGGACGTGGACGTGGTCGTGTAGTGGACGTGGACTTGGACGTGGACGTGGACGTGGACGTGGACGTGGTCGTGGTCGTGGACGTGGACGTCGACGTGGACGTGGACGTGGTCGTGGTCGTGGACGTGGACGTGGACGTGGACGTAGTCGTGGTCGTGGACGTGGACGTGGACGTGGTCGTGGACGTGGACGTGGACGTGGACGTGGACAAGGACATGGACGTGGACGTGGACGTGGACGTGGACGTGGTCGTGGTCGTGGACGTGGACGTGGACGTGGACGTGGATCTGGACGTGGACGTGGTCGTGGACGTGGAGGACTTGGACGTGGTCATGGACATGGACATGGACGTGGACGTGGACGTGGTCGTGTAGTGGACGTGGACTTGGACGTGCACGTGGACGTGGACCTGGACGTGGAAGTGGACGTGGACGTGGACGTGGACGTGGACGTGGTCGTGGACGTGGTCGTGGTCGTGGACGTGGTCGTGGACGAGGACCTGGACGCGGACCTGGACGTGGACGTGAACTTGGACGTGGACGTGGACGTGGCCCTGGACGTGGATGTGGTCGTGGACGTGGACGTGGATGTGGACGTGGACGTGGACGTGGACAAGGAGGACCTGGACGTGGTCGTGGACGTGGACGTGGTCGTGGACGTGGAGGACGTGGACGTAGATGTGGACGTGGACGTGGACATGGTCATGGTCGTGGACGTGGACGTGGACGTGGTCGTGGACGTGGACGTGGACGTGGACGTGGAGGTGGACGTGGACATGGACTTGGTCGTGGACGTGGACGTGGACGTGGTCGTGGACCTGGACGTGGACGTGGACGTGGTCGTGGACGTGGAGGACTTGGACGTGGACGTGGACGTGGAGGTGGACGTGGACGTGGACGTGGACGTGGTTGTGTAGTGGACGTATACGTGGTCGTGGATGGGACCTGGACGTGGACGTGGACGTGGTCGTGGAGTGGACGTGGACGTGGACGTGGACGTGGACGTGGTTGTGGAGTGGACGTGGACGTGGACGTGGACGTGAAGGTGGACGTGGTCGTGGACGTGGAGGACTTGGACGTGGACGTGGACGTGGACGTGGAGGTGGACGTGGACGTGGACGTGGTCGTGGAGTGGACGTGGACGTGGACCTGGACGTGGACATGGACATGGACGTGGACATGGACGTGGACGTGGACGTGGTCGTATAGTGGACGTGGACCTGGACGTTGAGGTGGACGTGGACGTGGACACTCCAGGGTGTCTGGCAAGAGCCTTGCAACGCTCTTGGGTGTCCGGCAGGAGCATTGCAACGCTCCGGGGTGTCCCGCAAGAGCATTGCAACGCCCTAGGGTGTTCTGCAAGAGCATTTCAACGCTCCAGTGTGTCCGGCAATAGCATTGCAATGCTCCAGGGTGTCCAGCAAGAGCATTGCAACGCTCCACGGTGGCCGGCAAGAGCATTGCAACTCTCCAGGGTGTCCGGCAAAAGCATTGCAACGATTCAGGGTGTTTGCCAAGAGCAATGCAACGCTCCGGGGTGTCCGGCAAGAGCATTGCAATACTACAGGGTGTCTGGCAAGACCATTGCAACGCTCCAGGGTGTCCAGCAAGAGAATTGCAACGCTCCGGGGTGTCCAGCAAGCGCATTGCAACGCTCCGGGGTGTCAGGCAAGAGCCTTGCAACACTTCAGGGTGTCTGGCAAGAACATTGCAACGCTCTGGGGTGTACGGCAAGAGCATTGCAACGCTCTTAGGTGGTCGGCAAGAGCATTGCAACGCTCTAG